GTGAAAATCCATTTTCGAGTCTTTACAGGTAGAAGGTCAACACTGGAAGCATAGTATGTTTTTTTTCTTCCCTTTGAACAGGTGTAAATGAAATTGATAGTGCCTAATATATTGTATATGGCACCAGATTAAATTGCCTTTGGCAGAGAGTCAGAGGTCTAACGGAGCATGTGTGTGTTTATACTGCTCCTCTGTCACCACTTTCATTTGTGGTGTTGCAGTATGACAGCATGAGGGCAGCTGATCTTATGATATGGTTACATCACAGAAAAACGTAAATACTAACTCTAATGATGACAGAGAATGTGAAATTATACAGAAATTATTAGTACTTTATCAATCACAAATTAATAACTTTAATTTTAATTTATTTAGTATTAATTGCTAGTAATTAGTACTAATGATTATTGCTAAATTTTGAATAATATTAGCTATTACTGGTGCTAGGGCAGAATAAGTCCATGTGCATACATATCGTTGTTAATGATAATATGTATTTACTACATTAATTCACTATATACTTTTAAAAAATGATTCAAAAACGATTGATTGATGTGTATTGAAGACTTGTGTACAATGATATGAAATAAAACAACAGACACAAGTCAATATATTGTTTTTCATTACACTGAATGTTTCTCTTTTTTTACTGAATATCATGTAATGTCTTTGAATTATCTTCATACGTTTTTCATTCTTTGCTTTTTGGTAACACTTTATAAGCTGCCATACTTATATTTTACATGCACTTACTATAGTAATAACAGTAAATTGTGCATAATTACAAGCAACAAACCCTAAACCAAACCTTAATCCTATAGTAAGTACATGTAGTAATTAATATTACTTTGTACTTAATGTACACTCTTAAAATAAAGGTTCTTTAGATTATTAAAATGTTCTTCACACTAAGAAAAAACATAGTTCTGTTAAGAAATGTTCACTAAAAGGAATCTTACTTTTAGGAGTGTAATTACACTGTAACAACACCACCTAAAAAAAAATTTTTTAACCATTTTCCCTAGCAATACAGATACATGCAATTAATTTGATAATTCCTTTGACATTTACGTGATTGACAGCCCTAATTTTAACTAGTCAGACATCTGTAAATATGCTAATTCTTAAATGACAAGAACGCAACATGACATCAGTGTGGTTTGTGTACTGTAATGTCGGAAGTGAGATATACCTGCTGGCGTACTGCCCTATCCGTGAGTGTGTGTCGTCATGAGAGAGTTGTGGCGATGGAGAAAGCCTGAAAACAAACATATACATAAACAAAAGCACACTCCAAAAATAACCAATGACAATCATGATTCTAAACATGAAATGTGTCTGATGATCTACAGTGAAGGCCAAGTGTTATTGGGATGGACGAACTGAGAAAGACGGTTAGACAAAAAAAAAACAAAAGGGGGAGGGTGGGGTGCTGGTGGATGTACTGCATGCTGTACTGAGGAAGGATGAGGAGGAAGAGGAGGACTGATGGTTGACTGTTGATACTCACTCATACTGCTCCGGACACATGCTGATGAGAGTGACCGGACTGCAAGAGGGAGAAAGAAAAAGAAAAACGAGGGGAAAGGAGGGGGAGTGGGGGTAGGGGAGGGAGGAACAGATTTTTTTTAGGGTCAGAGGTCACACAACGTAAAGGTCAGATCCACACACAAGGATGTGGAAGTGTTCTGGCTGAAATACTCCTCCAGTACTGTAGGGGGCAGTGCAGAATACTGAGAAACACTGGATTAATTGAATGATTGAGAAATGATTACCAAAGTAATGAAATGTCGCCATTATTTATTGACTGTCATGTCATATTTAACCTGAATGACTTAATTTCTTCTGTGGAACAAAATACATATACTGAGGGTATGTTTACACGACAACAATGTACTAAAAACCGGAAAGTTTTTCATTTGCGTTTTTCACATATAGACGACAACGTTGTCAAAACGAGTCCCGTTCACACGAAACCACGAAAACAACTTAAAGTGCTGTATTATGCATGTTGGGCCAGTAGTTGGAGATGCCACACTGTAAAGATAAACTATGGAAACACATAATACGCATGCAGATTTTCACAAATGTGTGTTTTTTTGTTTTGTTTTGTAGTTTACACCGAGACAATAACATTATCGTTTTCAAAAACATTTTTTCAAAGGTTTGTGTTTTCAGGCCCTCAAAAGCCCGTTGACGTGTAAATGAATGGCCAAAATGCAAAAAAAGTTATCCGTTTTCAAAATGCACCATAAAATTATTATATATATATAGTAATTTTATGGTGCATTTTGGTTTGGCCCTGATCACTGAATATATTTTCACTGTATGGAAATAGCAGCATGAACATTCTTCTAAAGGCCTAGTTTTGACTCCTACATAAAATTCATGTGGGTTAGAACAACATGAGTGCGAGTAAATGATGAATTTTCATTTTTAGGTGAACTATCCCTTTAATAAAGCAACTTTGTTTGTGTAATTTCTTTAGAGCAACATTTGGCCTCAAAACTAGAGGAATCAGATCTCCAAACCAATCTTTAATCTTTCATTTATTTTCATTCCATTTCAGTGTCTTTTCATGTGAAAACTTGCTGTTAATCACACATAGCACCAAGCGCAAAAAATCAAACGCTCTGTTCCGACTCAACAGGGACAAGTTTAATCTACAAGTTTAATGTGTCTCTTGGAGATGATGAAAAGTGTCATTTTTTCTTTTAAAGGAAACCATATAGCAGATGAGATGATAATTGCAAGATGAGAAATTCAAGGTTAGATTGGTTAATGTTTGTCTTTTTTAAGAAAAGTAGGGGCATTCCCATCTCTCACACTGCAGGATTGGGGCATTTTTGTCTTTTTCACAGTTGACACGGCATCGAGGGGTGATGTGGAGACGAGAGGTCTAGGATGAGACCTTCAGATGACAGAGAATGACTTACAAACTCTTTTCGTTTTATGAAGGAAGGTCAACAGAGGCAGGAAAAGACCGTTTTTCTTTTTAATAATGTTTAAAATTGTTGGAAAGAGCAAAAGTCAAGATGAAATGGCTTTCACAGCTCATTTAACTTTTGTAATGTGACACTCTGAGAGTGAAACGTTTATCCATCGGGAATTGAGTGGATCAAGAATGGCAAGATTTTGCAAAGGCTTTATTAATAGCAGCCTAAAAGATTATTTGGCTGTTGGTTAAAGTCAACATGAAATGAAAATTTAATGCATTTATTTTCTAAATGCATGCTTATTGATCGTACAGTGAACGATTCATCCATGTATAGTTTTTTTTTTTCAGAACTCGATTTTCCAGTAAAACAACAGACTTCTCTCTGGTGACATATGATAATCATTTATTTTAAAATAAACCCCACCCCTCCACAATCAATTGCATGCTCACATTCATTTTTGAGTGTCACGCCCATATCTCAACATCCAAATGATGCATAGATGCATTTTCAACTTGTAAGTCGTAATACGGAAAAAAAGATCCATTGCTACTTCCATTACATTACCACTTTAACAATATCTAGACATTACCTGGTCAGGTAGAGTTGTTTCTGTTTTTACATTTTGATGAAAGATGAAGGCGACCAACATATGTTTCTATGGAAGAATGATTTGTGCGCTTATGATTTGTTTGACCAGGAAAACGTATTAAGAATGTAAAAAGGGTCCATTATGACTTCATGTTGACTTTTAGTTCGGCTGAAGAGGGAGAAATATGAGTCGTGTCAAAGACAAAACGGTCCAGTTATCTGGGCTGTTAAATGGCTGGTTTGGTGTATCACTATGTACAGAGCGCTGGACTCAAAGTAATGAGGGATTCTGTAAATTAGTGCTGACAGAATCAACAAACACGAGCTCGCTAATAAAAGTCGGTCAATATCCCCTGGCGCTTCAGAATTTCAAGAAAACCAAACATGGTGCATGTTTGACTGCATGGTTTAATTTTGCTTTTGGAAACTGTTCTGAATATATTTCAACCACGGTCATCGCTGTTTGTTAAATCTGACACAAGGCGATGGGGTTTACTCATGCTGGTGCACACCAGCATGAGTAAACATGTCTGACATGTCATGTTCTGAACATAAACATGTCATGTTCTGAACATGTCTGTTCAGAAACCTGAAAATCAAACGTTACATGAAATGGTTTGCCATCACCGACGCTCAGATCGGCTGAACGTCACGCTAACGTGGAACGACAGGAAGCCTGTGCAGTGCGAGCAGTCATTTCGGCTCTGCTCATGGGGATTTATAATCAGCACCAACTGAAGAAATGGGTCATCTGCAGTTCCCCGTCATTTAGCAGGAGCTTCTTTCTGACACAAATTCATGAAATGGTCCCACTGGAAAACCAAAGTGCCTTAATCAACGGTAGTATGGAGATAAGGCAGAACTGGGAACTGCATAACTCTTTATTTTCTTGAATTGGCCACACTTGGGCTCTGTTCCAAAAACACTGAAGTGCCTAGGGCGGCATTGTAAGACATCATACAGTAGGCACGTTCCCAACACGGGGGCAAAAGACAGGCTGCATAATCGCGCTGCCTTCCAAGATGCCTTCTTTTGTTCAAATTCTAAGCCAGCATCACACGTATCTTTAGCGGAAAATTTATTATGACAAATTCAGTGGAAAAAAAATCCATGCAATTTGGCAGGCAACATGAGAGAAATGTTGATTATGGGCCCTTTTTACATTCCCAGGGTTCTCAGCTGCAGAAGTCACCATAGTTTGGTACACTTCTATAGTATAGTATAATTTTTGCATTTCCATTTGCCCCAACAGCAAAAGAAAAAAAAAAAATCCACAATAGTATTTCTTAGCATTCTTAGCGACTGTGGTAATGTGTCACAGAAGGGTCTATTAAATGTAACTAATTAATTACAAAAAAAAAATCTAATATGTGTGTGTTGGTTTTATGCATATTACACTGTGTATTTAGCATTTTGCTAAATTAACTTTGCCATAAACTTGAATTTGTTCAACTGAACGTGAGAGTTGAGATATGTGTGACATATCTTTGCTCATAGCCTTCAAATAATCACTTAATAGGTTCTACTTGAGTTAATGTTGCCTTAATGCTGAGTTAATGGAGCGTTCACATTTATTGCTGCTTAGTGAAAATTTGCAGGTGAATTCCAGTCATTCTGATAGGAATCCATGCAATCGGGAGTTTTGCATAAGGGCAAACATTTTGCGAATTCAACACACTAGCCAACAGAAAGCTGCTTGGTTTGAGTGACTTCAGTGTGAGTTGTGCTTCATTTGTCGCTGCACTATTGACAATGGACCTTTTTTTTGCACACAAAATTTCACAAACGTAACACACCTTTAGAAGGTCGTCAGTAGACAGCCTTCTAGGATTTTAAACAAAGATCACAACCAGCTCGAATCTTTAGAGTAGAGAGCAGGTTATAAAGGCTTTCACACAACAGCACTCTGTGTAGAGGATATATTTCAAGTTATATCAACATTTCTGGACAGACAGAAAATCAGCACTATGAAGTGAGACGAGTCGACATGATAATATTTGAACAGCAGCTCTGAGCAGACAGCCTATATTCAAGGTGTCTAAAGCTTGATTACTGATGTAGCGTATCATTCAATTCAAGTTGGAATTTCAAACCAACAGACTTTGGCAGAAATCAAAAGGCCAACTTCTCTGAGAAGGTGCTCTCATCACTGGAGAAAGAGGACAACCATTTTGATGCAAATTAAATGATTTCTTACAGGACTCCATAATAAAAAAAACTATTTAGCAAACGCTTGAAAGACAAGTACTTAAAGCCCGGGATACACCAAGCTGACTTCAAAGAACCAGCGGCGACTAAAGCAGACGGTGTTGTCGACTCGCGTTGGCTACGTCTGGACCAATAAACCACGCTTGAATACACCGCTCAGGCTACAGCCCACTGCAAACTAGCATGTGCTTTCCATCTTGACTTACTTGCTCATTTTCATCACTTTCGCTTTAATTCTCATGCACTAACTCGTTCGCTAAACTGAACATCCAATCAGAGTTCTCACTCTCGCCAACAGCCCCGACGCAGATTCAAAATGTTGAACCGGGCAAACTGCCACCAACGAGAGGCGATGTGTGGAACACACCAAAAAACTAGCCCGACTGACGCTCACCGATGGCCCCATGTTGGCTGACGGCTGACCGTAGGCTTGGTGTGTCCCGGCTAGCGGTGTAACGGTACATAAACATGACGGTACAGTGCATACCTTGGTTTTGACGTCACGGTACAGTACCGTTTCGGTGCAGTAGGGGGAAAACTAAACATAAATTTGCTTTTTTTTATTAAACAGTAGTTTACTGAACAAATTACTCTCTTTAAATAAATGTAATTATAATTACAATTTTCTTAGGGATAAAAATCTCCCTCGGACCCCAGAAATGTAATGCATTTTTGTACTTATTTTACAGTTTTTTTTCGGGATCTAGCGCGATCGAGGGGTTGGCGACCACTGCTCTAAACTATAGTGAGCCCTTTAACATTACTATAACGTTACAATTAACAACAGAGCCCAAACTTAAATTTAATTACTATTTATTTTTAAATATAATAATCAACACTCAACTTAAAAAAAAATTGTATGCAAACATGTAAATTGCACATAATGCAGTTTTTAAATTAACTTTTAAATGATAATTATGTTATTTGTTGTTGAAATATAATCATTTTAGACAGTGGCTGTCATAACTTGTTTCATAACAGATTTATTTAAACATACATTCAATAATTAAGACATCACTAACAGGTAACTGAAATATAATGATTATAAAGTCTAATATTTCGTGAAATGCTCTTCTCTAGACTTCATTTATAGCGCACTAACGAGATGTGGACACTGATGATTGAATGAGGTGAATGAAAAGCTACCTGACGTTTTGTTTACAAGCTGTTATATTGGCGTCTTTCCGTGGTTGAAACACTGGATGAGCGATTACAAGAGGAGTGAGATGTTCATTCATGTTTATTTCACGTTAAAACTAGTAGTAAAGAGGAAGGGATGATCGCGTTGAAGCGCTGAACTGAGCCCTTTATACAGCGATCTGTCGCGACACATCAAAGAGCGTCAAAATGGCATTTATTGTTTGAATTTCCTGAAAAAAAAATGGACACAATATGAAAGATGAGACTTTGTTTCTTATAAAAAGTAACAATAAAACTGGAAGTTTCCAATGAAGTTCCACTCGTGCAGTGGTTAAACCAATGCTGTATTTGTTTGGTATACATGCGTACCGAACCGAAAGACCCGTACCGAAAATTTTCGACACGAATATGTGTACCGTTACACCCCTAGTCCCGGCCTTAAAAAAATGCAAATAATGACACCTCAGCTTCCTGGTTTTTAATGGTACAATGTGTTAGTCTTGGCATTTGACTTCTTTTAGATCCTGTCTCTTTCTCAGAATTCAGGACTTCTAGTCAGAAAAGAATTCAGTCACCATTCCTCACATTTCTCAATAGTTCTTCAAACCTTGCAATGTGAATAAGCGCATTGCGTGAAGGCTGTAAAAGCTCTCCAGACAGATAATGACTGGAGGCGGCAGTAAGACAAAGCCTGAGGACAGTCAAATTCAAACAAATTGCAACACACATATACAGAACAACTTTCAAGATGCTTACGTTTCCATGTTGTCTCCCTCTAGGACCGTCTGGACGGGCAGGTATCCCAGGCGAGGGTGCTTCGCGAAATACTTCTTTGAGCGGAACTTGTTTTTTAAGACTTTGGTGAAATCTCGCATGTCTTCTCCTGAGGTGGTCTGAAAATGAGAGAGGCAGACAGATGATGGATGAGGAAGTGGATTTACGTTATTAACAATTGTTCAGAAGCAACTTCAATACAATAAAGCCCGGGAGTCACCAGTGGTTTGAACCCCCAGTATTAAACTTTGCTGTGTAGGCGTTGGTAGAGAATATTTAGGAGTTTCACTCTGAATCAAAGCTTTGGAAACCATCCAGAAGGTACAACTCATATGTCTTCTAATTAGGTGACATACAAACACACACTTGCATCATTACTTTTGCTAACAAATGGGAATTGAGGCTGAAGGTTCTCTCCATAGTAACTCTGACCTGAAAACACAAGCTTCCACTCCTTTATATTTAGAAGGGCATAAAATTAGCAGCAGAGGTGTTAGCAGACACAAGCAGTTTGCACACACGAGGGTTACACAAGTATACAAGTGTGTTTTAGGTCAGTTTGAGTGAAATGCATTATAATGAGAGCACACAGATCCGTCCATCCACACTCATCTCATTCTCCATTTGTCTACTGAGCCGAGCATGGTGTTTCAGTCCAAGATTTCTCTGTATGCGTCTCCACACAAAGTCTTCTTAATCTGCACATATTCACCAACCAAATCGTATTTCTCCTGCAGACTGGGAGACCAACCGAAAAACAAGGATGTGACAGCCCATGCACTACAGAGGGATTCTGTCTCTCCCGTTCGGTCTGCTAAACTCTCAAGTCAAACCAAAGACCAACAGAACCCATGAATTCCAGATCTCACGAGCACATGAAAGTTCAACATGCTGGCTGAAAGATAAAAACTCGTATTTAATTACAACAGCCAATTGCCTTATAAATGCATGTTTTTGCTTTCCTTTTTCTTTTAAAGCCTTTTGTGTGAGAAACACCAGCTAGCAAAATACGAGTGTGGAGACTTGGAGAGACAGTTTGTAACCGTAACTGCACAATAGCATACAAAAACAAATTGCTGTTCATCAGCACTTCCTGCAGACTCGGACATTCATACAGAATTCATTGTTTTTCTATTTTATGACGGGCGGCAACCAGCATTAATTTGCAATTTGCTATGTTGGAGGGTCAACTAGTGTTACTGGCATGATATTTATACAGTATGTGAAGTACTAACATGATATCAATATTAAATTTTTTTTATATTATGGTTGTCGTCAATAACGATATATATTGCAACAAATATACAAGTCTTGTATGATGCAATTATGGTGCTTTTTATCGTTTTTGAGCTTGATCCCCCAAAACTTCATGCTTTCAGTTGGCTTCATTCAGCAAACATGAGCAGTTAGAATAAAAAATAAAAAAACTCTTCTTGTATCAATTTACACAGTGGGTTTTCAATGGTGAAAAAGAAAAAGAAAATCAAACAGACATATAATAATGTGAGAAAATGTGAATAAATGGTGTTTTTTTCCATGTTTGGGTGACGTTTTCATTTAAGAAAGGGCTGAAGATCCTGAACAGCACATTACTCATTTACTCTGACACTGAGTAAAGAAACTAAATAAACTCTTTGTATCCCACAACTAATAAAAACCACATCAACAACAAAAAGAAATATCACCACGATGAAAAAGCAATAACGGCGTAACAGCCCAACCGAGGGCCACAAAGGCATATTCTGTTCAATATTGATCTTCTGCTCTCTGAATGCTGATGACAGTATTTGGTGTTGAATCGAAGGTAAATTTGGTTTATAGTTATGCACGTGTGTGTGTGTGTTTCTGGGATATGTCGGTTTGAAAGGAAATGAAAGAGTCCAGATGGTGACCCTGAATGTCAGCAGAGACCATGTCAACTAGACGAACCCTAGAGACAGATCTCCTGTGAAGAACTCATCAACTAGACGACCATCGGCACAAGACCACGAGAACCAGATGAGTCCTCTGCACAATCCGACGTGTGTTGCAGCCTGGAATTAAACCACGCCATGCTGGTTTCGTCTGGCCAGAGGAGAAATGGCCCCCCGACTGAGCCTGGTTTCTCCCAAGGTTTTTTTTCCTCCATTTCGGTCACCGATGGAGTTTTGGTTCCTTGCCACTGTCACCTTTGGCTTGCTTAGTTGGGGATGCTTAATTTCTGGCAACATTGTTGACTTGAGTGCACAGATACTATTGGAAGAGAACTGAACTGAGCTGAATGACATCACTAAATCAACAATGAACTGACTTTAACTGGAAAAATTACTCTTTGTTATTGTCTTCTTGCATTAATGACAAACTATTGTGGGCTTCAGTTTCTAGCTTGGCACTGTTATAAAACAATTAGTTATGCTTGAGCCATTTTTTAGGCCGAGTGTCGTTGTCTGTGCACTCAAACGTTTCACTGTATCACTGTATCAATTTCTCTCTAGAATCACAATTATATAGCTCACAACGTTGTAAAACATTGTCATTGGCAAAGTAAAAGGAGCCGTATTGTGTTGGAGCCATATTGTGTTGGAAACGTCACTCGATATTAACAACTTCTTTATAGAACTGTTGTATAAAAGTTATATTACACTTGTGATCAATATTTTGGGGCCAGTGGTACATTTACGTGATGCTTCATAGAACAGCACCATAAACTTATTACAGAACTCATTCACATGGAGTAACCTGGGGTTAAATGCTTTGTTCAAGGTCACAATAGTGGCTCACTGCTAGCAGAGATCAAACAAGGAACATTCTGGTTACCCGGATACAACAGCCAATACAACGGCCATTTCTGTAATGTTGGAACATGTGCATATGCTAATAAGTTTTAGGAACTACATAGTCTGTTTTTCTAGGGGTGGAAATCTTTTGATACCTCACAATTTGATTAAAAATCGATTCTGACATGTAATAAGAAACACTACAGAAATTGAATAATCATATGTAAAACTAAAACACTGCATAGTCTTCACTGTATGAATAAACTATAAATTGATTCTTAATAAAGATAGAAAAGTGATTCAGTCAAAATTACTGAGTGATTCTCTCTCTCTCTCTCTTTGTTTGATTAACATTAATGAAACAGATGGCAACAAAGTTCCTGCTGTTACTTTAAGAACGAATGTACGGATCCTATATACTGATACACATGTGAGTTTCTCCTAACTTTTTATGTTCACATAGGAAATAACTGTTTACGTTAATAATCCACACAATGGTTATTTTGGCATAATTGTTTGTGTATTTGGCCATTCAAGTGCAATAAGCCGCGAAAGAGATCTTAATTCATGCTATCATGGTGAGAGGTGGCAAACAGTGTGTGCTCCGGGTGAGTGTGTGTGTGTGTGTGTGTGTGTGTCTGTCATTGCGAGAGCCACATTGAGTTCTTTTTCACTAATAACTCTATTTAACAGCATGCACGTCCCAAATTCACTATTGCATGCAGGTGAGCACTGCACTGAGTTCTTTTCCAGAGCTTATTACGCTTAATAACTCTATTTAACATCAAGCATGTCCCACCCTTTTTTCATTCATGCATGTTTCTTTATCAATGTAATATGTCAATAACTTTAAATAGTACCTCGAGGTAAAAAAAATGTAAACATATAAACCATTAGAAATTGATTTTTGAAATTTGTAAAATAGATGCAATCGCGATTCTTATGTAAATCGATTTATTCCCCCACCCTATGTTTATCACACAAAGCTAAAACAGGTCTTCAGAAGACTTATGGACCACTTTCATGGTCCTTTCTGGAGCTTTCTGGTGACAGACTTCTCTCTGGTGATATATGCCAGACTTATCCAATTATTTGGCTTGCTAAAACTCTGCCCCTTTCTTACAATTGCATATGTTTTTGAGTGCAACGCTTGCATCTCAAAATCCAATCAAAAACTGATGAATAAAACCAAGTGTCCATCCTACATTTTATTTTTATTTTTTAAATAATCTATTACACCTGGAATTACATCACTACTTCCATTTCATTTTGACTTTAACACCCTTTGGTAATTTTCCTTGTATGGAAAAGAGCAGCGTGAACATTCTTTATAATTTCTGAATTTCTGATTTGTGGGGTTCAGGATCCCTTGCGGAGTTTGAACTTACAAAATTTTGTTTCACCACTTTACTACATCACAGAAAAAAACAACAAAAAAATCAATCTGGAGCTGAACCATCTAGCGGAAGGTCAACGCACATTTGACAACCCTCCACTCAGCCATCTATATTATTAATGAAAAGGCAACATTTCTTTGCTCAAGTGCCTGTTACAATTGTTTTTAAGTTGTATCATTATTCGGTCTAATTTCATTGAATTTGCACTGAGTTGAAGAGAGCAAAAAGAAATGCGTTTACCTTTTGTCATGCTGATCACTGACAGTGACAGCTTTTCAATTTCACGCTCTGAAACTGAACTATTGAATTGAACACCTTAAATTTCAGGTTTCACAGAGCTTGTGTTGTGGAGGTGGGAGGAAATTCTGCCGGTGGTACTGCTAATAGATCAAGGCCCTCTGAGTTTGAACTACTCTCCATCTGGCCTGCAGCGGTGGAGAAGGAACTAACCTTCGCCATTACTCTCATACCATAAGCTCCTGTTCACTGACCACACATCACAGTCGCAGCTGGAATAAAAACTGAATTAATGTGCTGCTGATGCTAAGACTTTTCCAAAGAGCAGCCAGCAGGATTACGCCTCCTACGAGAGATACGATTCTAAGGTCCCGATCAGACAGAACACGTTTTTTAGGTCTGAAAATGCGAGGCGCACCGCGCTGCGGTTTTTATGTTGCTAGGCAACCACTGAATCAGCTGTCCTGTCAGTGTAGCGCAAGCGCTCTTTGGTTTCATTCGATTGGGCAATGGGAAAAAAACGCGAATGACGTCAGGCACTTTTCTGCTCAGAGTTGCTTTTTTTTCAACTTCAGGAGCTTAGAGCGCTCCTGCAAAAATGCGAGGCACAGCAAGTGGCTAAAACTCGAGGCGCCCGGGGCGCATAAACAGCGCACAAAACGCTCACTGCTAATAGAAAACAATTTAAAAAATGGCCTAAGGCAACTTTGCATGTGTCCTTCATTGAATTAAAAATGAACTTTACACACAATAATTTTTGCAGAGTACTATGCTGTTAGCTTATTACAATATTGCTGGCTTAGCTTATTAGTCACATGCTAATACCAAAACCCTACACATGAAATTAACTGCGAGTCAAATCTTCATGTGTTTCGCATGAGAAGTTGCCGCCTGTTATGGAAATGTTATTTCTGTTTTTCTGAGTTTTTTTTTCTTGTTTTCTTGTTCGTGTTAGCAAAAATATTAAGGGAACATTATGGAAATGTTACTTTTGAATGTATGTCTGAATGTTTTGAAACAAGTAGTAAGCAGTGACGTTTCTAAAAAAAAAAAAAAAAAAAAAGAAAAAAAAGTCACTTTATTTTAAGGTCCAATTCTCGCTATTAACAAACCATCAACTTTGACTTTTGCCTCAAACTCATAATTTGCTGCTAATTAATAGTTAGTAAGGTGGTATTGGGTTACTGATGGAGAATATGGTCATGCAGAATATGTGCTTTATAAGTACTAATAAATAGCCTATAGCTGCTGAACTTTAAATCAAAACAGACTTGTGATTTTATGACATCAATTACTACTTTATTAATTCAGAAACACAAGTTTCTTAATGTGACTGCTGACTCTATACTCTGTACTTGCATTTTCGTATCAGGCTGATGTTGATGTTACATTTGAAGCCTTTATCAGCTGATTCCAATGATGTTCCGATAATACCGTGCATCCCGAGTAGCTGCGTTTGTAGTCAGTAGACACGAAGACATCTCACTAGGTTTTGGAACAGAGCCACAGCTCTACCACTACCGAATGCCCACAATAATGCTCATTCATGCAAAACCTCTCTTTTATGAGCTCCAATTTGCAAGCATAATTACACATGCCTTGATTTGATGGGTAGAGAGAGAGCGTACGAGAGAGGTAGAGGTTCAGGCACTAGCTAACTCACCGGTGTGCAGTACTCCACCACGGGGTAGTTGAGTTTATGACCCTTCGCTGTGCGACCAGAGAAGAAGCAACTCTGGCAAACGTCATAGTTGAAGTGCTTCAAACTGCGATATCTGCAAAGATAGAAAGAAAACACTGACAATTAGTATGAGAGGCTTTCATTGTATGGAATATTTTTCGGTTTTACACAGGAAAACATTATTATTTTGGATTCATTATAGCCATAACTCTAAACCAGCCATTCTGTAGTTTCGTCAAACTATTATCCACTTGTTATTCCACTATTATTCAGTTTGTCTGAAACTGAGAGTCCTCTTGAGAATACTGACTCCAGTCACGCCACGCTCGATTCAATAACATCATTACCACACAGTTTAGAAGTGTTTCTATTTCACAGATTTTCCTCATATACATGTAAACTGAGTGTGGAGGAAGACAGCACAGTGTGTGTTGTTTGTTTTTTGGTTTCTTCTGTTCTCTCCAGCAAATGCAAATTCAATAGAATTTAATTCCTCCAGTGTGCAATATTTCTACCGCACTGCCACATAAACACTAAAAAGACACTAAAAAGATGCTGCATTTTCCAAAACAGCTCCCTCTCTCTCTGGGGCGGCCCATCTGAAAGCACAATATAACACTGAGGCCCCTGCTGAGAATGACTAAACATCACACCATCAGTACTTCAGCCAAGATCTCTTATATTAGCCTCTGCAGGATAACATGAATATTATAAAACTGACCTAAAAACCAATTTGATGAAGTTTGTAGATATTGAAAAATAAATCAATAAGCCTTGAGACTTTGCATGTTACAGTGATTTTACTGCAGATAATGGATGCCCTAAGGCACAATAATAATAATAAAATTATAAAATAACAAATTTTTACATAAGTTTTTTTTGCTTTTACTTTTAATATTTCTTTATGAAGTTTGACATGCTGAATATGAAAATCACATAACTTTTTTGTGTATCATTAACAGTGCTCATAAAAACTAAAAAAAATATGTTGACAACTTGCACAAGCTAATCTGTCATCATTCAGAAGTGTGCGTTGGATGATTTTAGTCCCACAATGTTCTGGAATGTTCCAGACAGCACTAGAATATTACAGAACATTCCAAAATGGTACAGAAACTTCTAGAATGTTCCCATCCTTGCAAAAGGAAAAGCAAAAGCAAAACAAAGTTGTTTCATAATTAATGATAGAAGTTCAAATTTACCTGACCTATAATATTTAGCAAACATATTGATGCTACGTGAAAATAAATAGTACAATAATAATTAGCACCATAGAATTACAGAAGAACCATAAAAAATGTAAGTGAACACATTTTACATTGTATATTACATTGTGTAACAGCAATAATAATAATAATAGGAATAAATTACGCCAAATATTATAGTGATATAGAGTTAATCAATAAACAGGCATGACTTGGACTTTTTTAATTTATGTAATAATTTATTGAACACATATCTTTTATGATGTTGTTGCTGCCATTTGGTTTTATTTCATTTTCAGGGCTGTTAAAGTCAACATTAACACATGTGATAAATTAAGTATGTTTCCCCTCAATCAATGTCAGTTCCGAAATAGTGGACCAATCAGAAGACCCCGGAGGCGGGGCAAGCGCTGCAAGCTTTTGCTACTGTAGCAAGTTGGCATGGCAACTGTTTTATTTGACGGCAACATGTTGGAGGAGGCGTTCTGCGCTGCGTTTTTTAAAAACCATATCTGAGTGCTGCGTTTTGCATTTTTAGATGCAAAGATGTGTTCTGTGTGAACACCCCCCCCACCCCCATACCCCCCCCCCATAAGTGCATAAAGTGTGGACTAAGTTGTTTAGTCATTTAACGTTCAACTGAAAGTCCAATTGAAATGATGTAATTAAACTTTTAATAGAGAGGACAGATTTATTTCTTGGACAGTCAAGAGAGGTGAGAAAGGCAAGAGTGAGGGTGATGTCGCTTCAGCCAAATTTAACTTGGGTCACTCACGCTAGACCACGTCTCTGACGACAGCATCGATTTACAAAAGCACTTGTAAAAGGTCATTTGTTCGCTCTAAGGGAATACCGCTTACCCGCGATTAACCCCTTAACCGTGGCAACACCACTGTAATGCCCAGCCTCTTGTGGATTACTGCTTTAACAATTAACAGCTGTTAATCTGCTAAACAATTCATTACATTTGCACGACTCTGTAAGCGAATTCATCAATTTATCAGAATCACGCCTCAGGATATCTTCTCCACAAAGTTTTCTTTTTTCAACAGTCTCAATAAATCCAACTTGACTGACTCGGACTTTACTTTTCTGTTTCTCTCTCTTGTTCCATTTAGTCTTCTCTACTATCCATCACTGACAGACCTCGGTCCGTATCTCCTCCGTCAAACGTCCGACTGAATCTCTGCCTCAAAGAAACATCTCGGAAAACAAGATGGTGTGGTCTGATGCGCTCAGAGTAGCCAGAGATGCTAAATATGGCAGGATTATCAGTAATACAGGGCATCATGTATGTATGGATGGCATTTGAAAAGGTCAGCACCTATTGTGACAGGAGCACACAGTGACTGTTTAAAATACACCATAGAGGCTGTGATGACCAACTAGAGCACGATACATCCCTCTAACACTGTGTCGTTGTGTTTCAGCTGTATTATTATATCATCTGCACACTGCTGATATAAATGCTGACAATAAACTCTGGCTTGTCTTTGAAGCAAAGAAACTATATATTATATTGATATATAATAATGCAATAAAATGTTCTACTGCTATAATGATTGATTTTACTGCAGTCCTCTGGTGGTTTCTGCCATTATTACCATCAACAGAGTGTTTCTCTTACAGCTAACATTTCACACAAGTTGAGCTTCAACAATTGGTCAATTCTACACAAACACAGACTGCAAATGGAACGTTTCTGTTAAATGTTTATCCTATTTAAAATGCATTAATTTATACATTTTAATTGCTCATTTATTATATACAACACTTCTCTTACATATAGCGATAACAAATTAATTAGTTTTGATCAACTACATTAGTTAACATGAACTAATGAAAATATTTCTAAAGCATTTGGGTTGTTGATATATAATAATTGTTACTAATATACAAATAGCATAAGAGAGATTTTTCTTCATTGTTAGTTTTTTCCCCAAAAGTTTTGCTGTCACACCATTAGACATATTTATGTTATATTTGTCAACTACCCATTTATTAACTATAACCAACGTTAATCTCAACATTTACTAATACATTATTAAAATCAAAACTTGTATCTGTTAATATTTAATGGACCTGAGCTAACATGAACAAACAATGAACAGTTGTATTTTTATTAGCTAACATTAACAAAGATTCAAAAATACTGTAACACATATATTGACCTTACTGTAAAGTGCTATCCGTATAATAAAAACAATATATTATTATATTTATTTTTAATGATAAATAATGATAAATAAATTATCCTTGATTTTCCACTACAAACCATAAAAATCCAACTATTTGTTGTGTGTATAATTATAAATGTATAATTATATATACTGTATTAATAATTTCATTATTATTATACCTTATTATTATTTATATCTAAATATTAAAAAACATACAAATAATTAATGAATTTACTAATTAATATAAACAACTGATTCTCATTAAATAATTATGAATAATTCTATTAGCCATTAATAATAAATTACTGTTCACCTCGCTATGCGGTCGACCAAGAATAAAATTCATTAAAAAAAACATCAAGCAAGTCGGATTAAATATATACAGAGTTGTGTCACCTAAATGCCCTTCTTTTCAGTGAAATTACAAATTAAAACATAACTCACTCTGTCAACATTACTAATATACATCTACAGACAAACCAAAACTATTTTATTATTATTAATAATAATATTATTTTAAATATCTCAGGTGAGAAAGATTTGATCTTGTGACCTTTCATACACAATGCAAGAAATCATCACATCTTATTAAGGAGTAAATGGCTGAACCTCCAGAAGCTGAAATCCTGGAATCGTCTCTTTCCTGCTCAATGACAGTAAACGCACTGAACTCATCTCAAACATTAACATGTTAACACTGGCAGCCCTAGTTTACAGCCGAACTTTTAAAAGAGTCAGAGCCGATCAGAGAACTGACTGAATAGACTGTCCTCCATTTCTTTCATCAGTCTCTCTCTTATTTAGAGTGCTATCAGATGCTGACATTTAGATGAATGTTGGGCCTCGGGAGTGAATCTAACCTTTCTGCTCCCAGTGTGTGTGTGTGTGTGTGTGTCTTAAATCTCTCACAGATCTGCCTGATATCACGCCTTGCCTATTGCAACACTTCTCAAAGTGCGGCAGAATTCCCTACACTTCAATCTGTCGCATTTACTTTCTTCTGTTCTTCATAATGTACAGTCAACCAGTCATTATCTTCAAATCAACCTCTTCAGTGTGTGTGTGTGTGTGTGTGTGTGAGTGTGTACCTGAAGCCCACGATGGGGAACTCTTTACAGATATTGCACTTGGCCTGGTGTTTGGCCGTTTCTGCTGCCGCCACTCTGTGCAGGACCGGAAGCCAAACCATCGACTGCGGCTCCAGCCTCATCCAATCAATAAACTGCCTCGGCTCCAGCTCCACCTTATTGGTCACCTGAGAACAGAGAGTCAGCACAAACAGCCAATCAGGGAGGGATTTCAGAAAGCCCATAAAAAGCATGAGAGAATAACTCATAAACAATGCAGCC